ACCTGTTTCTGGGGGTCGGAGATTGGATCACCGTTCTTTCCCCTAATGATGGTAATAGGTTTGGTGCTGCAGGTGACTTTTTTAATGGAATTAAAGAGCCATTTGTGATCGCGGGCTACTGAGGCAGACTCCATCTCCTCAGAAACCTGCGATCACCACTCATCCTTGCAGCGCCTCACGGCTCTCCGAACCTCCGAGCGAAGGCTGCGGTAAGCCTCCTCATTCTCCGATGTGGGATGCTGTAGCTGATGAGAGTGGTCCTGTCGCTTTTTCTCAGCCAGCTTGAACACCTCCTCTGTCAGCCAGGGTCTCTGGGGAGGTCTGGACCATGTACCCAAAGCAGACATTGCAGCTGCATGAGCCACAGTCCTAAACCTCGCCCATTTCCCCTCGTCATCAGGAGGAGTGGGGGACGATGCGAACCCCAGCCGCAAAGCGATGATGAAATTTTCGCTTGCAACTTTCATCAGTTAGCTGAGACCAGGCCACTATTGGTTTGAATGGGGTCCTGGGTGTACACCCACCAATGGCAGGCGCATCTTACAGATGACAAGTCGATGGTCAGTGGGCAGATTAGCTCCACGGTAGGTCCTGGTGTCAAGGACATGGGCCCGCATCTGCTGTTCTGTCACTATGTAGTCCAGCAGATGTTCTTGCTTGGACCCGGCATGCATCCATGATGTATTGTGGATGCGCCGATGCCAGAATAGCGTGTTGGTAATTACAAGCCCATGGACTGCACAAAAATCTAGCAGCCTCCTGCCGTTGCTATTGAGCTGATCTGGCCCATGCCTTCCAATTACTCCAGACCAGGTGCCAGCATCATGACCAACTCGGGCATTGAAGTCACCCAACAAGATGACTTTATCCCGAGGGGCCATTTGGCCTAGCACCTGTGACAAGAGGTCATAGAAGGCATCGGACTCATCGGCCTTGCCTGCATCCCTCCATGGATGTTCGTCTTCAGTGGGAGCATAAGTAACCACTACCACCACTCCTTGCCTCTGGTTGATGGGAAGGCGAGCCCAGAGTAGCTTGTGGCATACAGCTTCCCACACCTCACCCCCACGCTCCCACGCCCCCTTTCATTCTTTTATTCAGAAGAAGAGCCACACCCTGCTGTTTGGCAGTCTCCTGCACCGAGTAGAGGACTGTCCACCCCTCATGGTGGCATGAGCCAGAGCCGGTCTACTGGACCTCCTGAATACCACAGATATCCAGGCGGTACCAGTCCAGCTCCCGACAGAGGAGTGGCAGCCTCTCCTCCGCAGTGAGCATTCGAACATTCCACGTGGCCACACGTAGTGGTTTTTTGTTGTTTCTGGAGGAGCCCCGAGGGTAAGGATTCAGTCTCCTGGCACCGCCAAATGGGGTTTGGCCAGGAGACGTCATAGACGCCTGTCCCCCCGGGGCCTCCAGCACCAGCTTATTAATTAGATGTTTTAAACGTGGTTTAGTGGCAATTAATTGAAGGTGGAGGGGTTACCAGCCCTTCGCACCCATCCAGAGCCCCTATTTAGCTGCTGTGGTGGTTACAAACGCCATGAGATGAAAAGCCAATCGGAATTCGCCCTCCCCCCACGGCACTGCCCACAACAGCGTGGCACGTCTGGCACCACGAGGAGGTAGGGGGTTGTTTTGCCAGAGAGAGACACACAGAGAGAGACAAACACACAGAGAGAGACACACATGGAGGAGATACACATAGACACACACGCAGAGAGAGACACTCTCTAAATTTTATTTGATTTGTCAACTTCCAATTTCTCTCCCCCTACCACTCGCATTGACATGCTAACTTATCTGCCCCCCCCTCTATATATATAATGCCTCGTCACAGAGGCGTTGTTTCTCTGTGTCTCTCTGTGTGTATCTCTGCGTGTGTGTCTCTCTCTCTCTCTGTCTCTCTCTGTGTATGTGTCACTCTCCGTGTCTATGTTTGTCTCTCTCTCTCTCTTTATATGTGTCACTCTCTGAGCTTGCATTCATTCATAACTGATGACGGTTGCTTGTGTTGCAATCGAAACCTTGTATTCTATTTTTATTTTATTTACTTTCTACGTGACTTTACCAAAAGAACCAAAGAGTAATCCATGCAGTCACGAAAGCTTCAAATCAAGATTGCTTTATAATGGTTGAACACACAATACTGTCGTGTAAAAAAGTCACATCGAGTAATTTGGTGCAGCCATACCATCCCGATGTATATTGCTACTAGTTATGTGCATAAACCATCATGTTTGATTTTACTTTGATTTAGCTTTACAATTTAAACATCACCTTTCTAAACTTGAATTGAAAGAATCAAGGTGAATAACAATAATTTACACTTAGAAAGCGCGTTTCCATAAGAGGTCGCAAGGCGCTGCACAGAGATAAATCAAGCCAATAATTTTCGCAATTCTAAAACCTAATATAAGCACACAAGATCATGATTTAACCATAGATGCAAATACCCCCCCCACCCCACACTCCCAAAACACATAACCAAATGAATCAGGAGAAAAGGCCTTTCCGAAAAGAAATGTCTTAAGGCAGGATTTAAATAAACCGAGGGGCTCAGCAGATCGAATACTTGATGGAAGTGAATTCCACAGCTTGGGGGCAACGTGGGAAAAGGCCCCCGGGTTACCCATTGAACGGAGGTCCGACCTCGACACACACAATAGCCCACAGTCAGATGACCGAAGAACTCGCTTTGGGACGTATGGGTGGAGGTCACGGATGTCAGAGGGGGAGGCATTATTGAAGGCCTTTTAAGTGAGAAGTAAGATCTTGATCCCCACTCCGAACCTGACCAGTAACCAATGGAGAGACTCAAGCACAGGGGTAACGTACTCAGCAACTGGTTTTCAAGTAAGAACTCTGGCAACTGCATTATGCACGTGCTGGAGGCGGTTTAATAGCTTGAGAGAGATGCCAGCTAATAATGCATTGCGAAAATCGATGTGTGAAAAGACAAATGCATGAACCAGCTTTTTAAGGTCCGATAACGGGAGAATGGGGCGAAATCTGGCTATATTTCTGAGGTGAAAGAAGGCAGCCTTAATGACCTTATTAATGTGCGCTTCGAAGGTTAGTGAGGGATCAGGGATAACACCAAGGTTGCAAACTGTCTGAGCAGCACCGATATTGTGGCCATCATTTAACACACTGACCAAGCCACCCTTAAGACAATTGATGACGGGACCCAATAAGCAGCACCTCTGTCTTGTCAGCTTTTAACTGAAGAAAGTTAGACTGCATCCATGCCTTAATTGTCACAAGAAAAGATGACACACAAGATGCTGCTGCATTGAGGGAGGATTCAAAGTGAATGTAAATTTGAGAGTCATCAGCATAACAATGAAAACAAAGGCCAAGTTGGTGTATGATATGGCCAAGTGGGGCCAAATAAATATTGAGAAGAAAAGTGGGACCAAGCACTGAAACCCTGGGGCACACCAAAAGGAACAGAACATGTGTTTGAATTTATCCCTCCCAGGGTGACAAACAGTTTACGCGCAGATAGGTATGAAGTAAAACAGTGTTGGAAACCCCCATATAGCCTTCCAAACACTCAAGCAAAATGGAATGATCCATGGTGTCAAAGGCAGCACTCAGGTCCAAAAGGTCAAGAATACTCGACTGGCCAACATCAGCAGCAACCAGCAAGTCATTGGCTACCCTAACCAGAGCTGTTTCCGTGCTGTGGCCAGACCTAAAACCGGACTAAAAAGGGTCAAAAGATGATTTATGAGCAGATGATGTTTAAGCTGTAAGGCTACTGAAAGCTCAACGATCTTGGATAGATATGACAGGTTGGAAATTGGACAATAATTACTGAGGAGTTCTGAATCAAGGCCAGCCTTCTTGAGTATAGGAATGATGGCACATTTAAAAGTAGAAGGGGCATTACCAGATTGGAGTGAGTTGTTACGAAGATTGATAGTAAAGACTGCAAGAGATGGAAAATTAGCATGAATACATTTATAATCGGATCAAAAGAACAATAGGTTGGTTTTGAACTATCAATCAATGAAGCAACATCTGATTGTGAGAGCTTGGAGAATACAGAAAAATCAGATATCAGCAGTAATGGGCAGAATGGTAGGAAAAGTGATAGAGTACATGGAAAGGCGAACTGTGTTGATTTTGTAAAAAACAAATTGAAAGAACTGGTCAGTATTAGCCTTTGTACTCGATAAATTAGAAGCATGGGGTGAATGAAGGAGCATATGAACGGTAGACAAAATAATCCTAGGGTTATTCCAGGTATTGGCTAGAGTAGCAGCAAGATAGCTGGTGTGAGCATCGTTGAGTGCCTTTCTGTAAAATTATAAGGTGGTGCTTGAAGATTTGCGAGTAGATGTCAAGACCATATTTTCTCCAAGATTGCTCTGCCTTGCGAACAGTTTCCTGCAGTGCATAAAGCTCGTTGTTATACCAGGGTGAAGACTTTACCACCAAAATCCAGCGTGATTTCAGGGGGGTCAAACTATCCAATATACTGTTTAATGTAGTATTGTAAACTTGCATCATGGCATCCACAGTAGATGGGTATACTTCAGAGTGGTGAGTTCAGAATTGCCGAGGAAAACATGTCCGGAAGAATTGATTTTAGATTCCGAAATCTGATCTGGTGCTTTACGATAGGATTAGGTGGAGGAATCAAAAGGTCAAACAGCACGGTGCAATGATCGTATATTCCAGGATCAATAATTGATAAGTTGGTGACAGACAATCCCCTTGAACAAGCTAGGTCATGCACGTGACCATTAATATGGGTGGGGGAGTTAACATGATGAGTGTTTGGCATCGGGCATGGGCGGTGGTAAAATATTAATGGGAAGGAGTTGAATATACAAAGAGGGGCGGGTCCAAAACAATAACATTGCTGAGCCCCCCTCAACTTAATCTGGCCCTGGTCACCACACCCATTGTTAAACACATCTTCGTACACACTCTGTATGTGAAGAATGTTTTTGTCATACGTGAACATTTTAATTCAAGGCACAAACCTTGGATGGAATGGATTTTAAAGGACTTGATAATCAGTGACTTTTCTGCAGGCAGGAGTCTGTTGCATTTGTGCTTGATTTTCTCAAAATAGCCAACGTACCGACTCTGCAATGAGAACAGGTGATTGATGAAGACTCGTGTCACTTTGTAGCCATGTTACAATTTTAATATCTTCACTGAAATATGAAATCTTGACCTAAAGCTTCCGTGACTGCAGGAATTCGTATTATTTGGGTATTCCGGTAAAGTCACGTAGATAGGTTCAAATAAAATAACAAAAAACCACGACGTTTCGATCGCAACACAAGCGGTCGTCATCAGGAAAGGGAGTTGGCTTCTAAAGGCAAACTGTTTATAAAGATTTAAAAATGGGCATAACCCAAGTGTCAGCCCATGCTGCTACGTGACTTTACCGAAAGACCCAAAGAACACTGAAATATTTTTTCACCAGAGGTTAAACAACGTCTGCTTTTTCATGAAAAAGACATTTTGTTGCACTGAGAAACCCACAGGTTGAAGCATATTGATATGTGCTGATTGTTCATTTTTTTCCATAAATGCCTCATAATTTAATATCGGGTGGCACAGACTACAGTAAAATAACTTTTAAATCAATCCCCTCACCACCATGTGCACACGCCTTATATTGTTAAGAATGATAGTCCTACCTGGGATGGCGTTTCCACACCCTGAAATTTCAAACTGACGCTTTTGTCAGTTCTCCTTTCTCCAAAGAAGTTCAGGCTCTCCTGAAGAGAAGATCAACGTGCCCATTAATAGTTTTATTCACAAGCTGGCGTCTGTGCCATATAACTAAACATTCCCACACCTCCGATTAGCACGGTTGACTACGTATAGTGCAAAATAAGTTCAAAATACATACATACAACATATATGACATTGGCCTTTAATATTTGTCACGATGGGCCAATGGATGGTATAAGATTTCTAAAGTGCATTAAAAGTATATCCAATCAGCACAAACAAAACGCCTGATAAAGTCTTGTCTTAATAATAGCCGATTGTAATTCACCATGAAGTGTATAGCTTTTGATTTCCATGTTTACCAAATTATATTCGAAATATTACATTGCCAGTGCGGATGCTACTTGGTATCAACTACCTTTGAACATACATTTTATGCGCAAAAAAGTTTTTATTTTTATTTCAATACCTTCATGGAATTTCACCTCAAGTTGAAAATATAAAGTTTATACAGCTTTAAATAAGAATCACCAAGCTCACCATTTAATGCTTGAATAATAATGGCCAGACAAAAAATGTCCTTAATAATTGGTACTGCTCATTCCAGACATTAGTCATTAAATTGCAGCCAATGACTTAAATTCCCATAGACCACTTCACAGTAAATTGCGTAACCAGCAGGGTTTATCCCATGAGTAGGGGCAGAGTAAACGCACCTTTACGAGACATTCAGCAGAAATCCGTGCTCATGCATTCTCACCTCTGCTGTTTGAAATTGTCCACTGTCAACAAGCCATGTGCAGACCATTGTCCCAGTTCGGCCTAAAATATATCAAATACAGTCACTCGGCACAGTCGCTCATTCACCACAACGACTCAGGAAGTAACTTGGAGACATAAAATGAGCCATCTATTAACAAGATCCGCGTTTCTACGGCATAGTTTGAAAATCTTTGTCTTCTCTCACTTGTATAACTTGAAGTGGGTTTTATGTTTGTATTGAATAAGTGGCTGAATATGTTTTGTTCCAAGCCAGACTATTTTTTTTGTATTATTCCTTCCAGGCAAGACATTCTAGGCCAGTGCTCCATTGTTCAGCCTCACCAATTGATACTCTATCGCATATCTGGGAAACTACTGAAAATCTGTGAAACAACTGGACAACTGTGAAAAAGAGCTTTATAGCTCATCGGATTCGCCCAGCATAAATACATATCCTAATTATGATAAACAAGCAACTGCTCCAAGTTTTCCTGTTGCCCCAGTTAAAGTACCTTTGCCACCTTTGCAATGGATGGCAATAACATTTGCATCATCCGAGTCCATCCACTGGTGCACACTGTCTGCAAACCTGAGCAACTCTCTGAGACACAAACAGGTAAAGTGGTTTTAAATCAAAGCTACAATGTCAGATCCAAACATTTTAACTAGGCATGGAGCATTTATTGAAACATTTTCTTCGTAACATCTGGAATGGAGGCAGTACTTACGGCAAAGATGGAACATTATGGTCGTCCACACAAACCCTTTCGACTCGGTTGTGGAAATATTTAGCTTCATAGCCCTTTTCACCTGTACAAGGAAAGAGACTTAACAAAGTTGCTAGGTTCCCAAAATACTCGTTATTGAATACAAAATATACATTTTGATTTAAAGCTTTCGTGACTGCAATAATTCATATTCTTAGCTCTTTCGGTAAAGTCACGTTGAAGGGAAACAATAAAATAATAATATATATATAAAACAAAAAAAATATCACGACGTTTCGACCATAACACAAACGGTCGTCATCAGGTGTGTCGGTTTGCATTAATTTAGTTTAAAACGGTGTATTTCTTTATTTAAAAAAACGTTAGCGCCACGCGCAGAGGTTTAGCAGTTTATTTAGAAGGATTAGTCCATCTATGTTCTGAAAAGAGGAGGGGGGAGACGAAAAATTAATGTATGCTGTCTGAAAGCCACTGTAAGCGTGAACAATCAATTATGACCTGAAATGGTTTATCAAATCTTTCCAATGATTGCTAAGCCAGAATCCATCTTCTCGGTTGAAATTGTCTCTGTGCTTGTATATGTGGATAGCCTCATGAACGAATCTCTCATGGTAGCCAGATGGCTTACAAAGAACCTCTGTCTTGGAAAAGTCAATGTCATGTGAGCCTACTGAATTATAACAATGATCTGCCACGGCCGAGGTGTTGGTCTTACCGTGTTTAAGGTCTGCTTTGTGTTCACGAATGCGGTCCGAGACATGGCGTTTGGTTTCTCCAATGTAACTACTACCACAGAGGCAACTTAGTTTGTAGACACCAGGGTACTGTATGTCTGGAATCATATCTTTTACAGACAGAACCAGATCACGGATTTTATGTAATGTGTTGAAACGGACCTGGATCTTGTGTTTATTCAAGATTTTGGAGATCTTTTTTGTGATCCCCGCAATGTAGGGTAAAGTGATGGTTTTGAAAGGCTCCTCAAGAGGGTCCTTCTTCTACAATACGCAAAGCTATCACTCAAACCATCAAGAAGGACCCTCTTGAGGAGCCTTTCAAAACCATCACTTTACCCTACATTGCGGGGATCACAAAAAAGATCTCCAAAATCTTGAATAAACACAAGATCCAGGTCCGTTTCAACACATTACATAAAATCCGTGATCTGGTTCCGTCTGTAAAAGATGTGATTCCGGACATACAGTACCCTGGTGTCTACAAACTAAGTTACCTCTGTGGTAGTAGTTACATTGGAGAAACCAAACGCCATGTCTCGGACCGCATTCGTGAATACAAAGCAGACCTTAAACACGGTAGGACCAACATCTCGGCCGTGGCAGATCATTGTTACAATTCAGTAGGCTCACATGACATTGACTTTTCCAAGACAGAGGTTATTTGTAAGCCATCTGGCTACCATGAGAGATTCGTTCATGAGGCTATCCACATATACAAGCACAGAGACAATTTCAACCGAGAAAATGGATTCTGGCTTAGCAATCATTGGAAAGATTTGATAAACCATTTCAGGTCATAATTGATTGTTCACGCTTACAGAGGCTTTCAGACAGCATACATTAATTTTTCGTCTCCCCCCTCCTCTTTTCAGAACATAGATGGACTAGTCCTTCTAAATAAACTGCTAAATCGCTGCGCGTGGCGCTAACATTTTTTATAAATAAATACACCGTTTAAAAATAAATAAATTCATGCAAACCGACACACCTGATGACGACCGTTTGTGTTATGGTAGAAACGTCGTGAGAATTTTTATTGTTTTATATATATTTTATTATTTTATTGTTTCCCTTCAACGTGACTTTACCGAAAGAGCTAATAATACAAAATATACATGTGAAATAATTTATAATCATCTATTGGATGTGATTTTTAACTAACGTACTGCATAAGTTGTACACTTTATAATGATTCCCGTGCTTCATATCGAGAAATCTTGCAACTTCCTGAAGAAGAAAATGGCATGATTTGGAGTATACACACACATTACATCACATATTGCAAACAAAATATCACAAAATATCCGTGACAAGATTTGTCCATGTGTAAGCTTCACAATTGACGTCGGTGCTGTCTGTTCTCCAAATAGCACGATTGTTTTCACCAAAACTTAATCCTCCATAGGTAACAACACATGGAGCAGACATCATTGTCGCGTTATAGAAGTCTGCAAATAACAGCTGATGGGATCTGATGGGCGCGTTGGGATCTACGGATGAAATTCGCCTTACAGCCAATAGCTACCGTGTCTCAACATGAATTTCTGTCATTACCAAAAGCTGGCTATTTGTGGAAGGTAGGAATAGATGGCCTTTGGCACTTTCCTGTTATAAGAAACAAGTCCAACGAGCTGTACCTGGATGGGATTGCGGTACACAGCTTGCTTCCCGGATGAAGGGAAAGACATTGCGATGACGCGGTCTGAAAAGGTTAAACTGTTAAGCACGGACAGTTGAAAATAAAAACATGAAGCATATAAGTTTGATAATTAAATATATGATCGCCATGAATATATATGTGCATGATGTATCACGGGTGTGGAATAAGATAAATGTGACAAAACGCACAGACAAAACCAATAACGTTCCAACTTGCCAGTCACGTATGTGAGGTCCAAATCAAAGCCGTCTTTCTGGTATCGCCGTTTATTCTCTGACACCTGCAGAACACCCTGGTCACTCTCATTGCATCACAAAATATTTTCTATTTTCTCAAATGTTAGGCTCAGGTTTAGGTTACTGGTCGAGACATGTTAAGGTTACTGTTGAGAGTAAGATTGACATCTTATCCTATTTATTATCCGCGGATGTATTATTCTTCCGAGGATAACCGTGGTCACCCTAAAGTGATGGTATATTCATCGTAATACTCATGGATAAGTGATTCAGCAGTTGTCTTCTAGAAGTGTTCACCCTATTACAGTATCTGCGTTCTTCTGGTGAAGAGGTGTTACAGGGAAATGGCAACAAATTCATGTTATTGGCCATGGACCATAAAATAAGTCATCTGGAGGCGTCGCGGGTAATAAAGAGTCGTGCAAAAAATTTACCCAATTACACCCAGTATTTATTGCGGTTAAGATGAGTCATGTGACAAAATTTTCCTATTATCTGCGGGAGACTAAAATGTCGTGGGATGAAAATAAAGTGAGATAAAAACGTAGTGAACGAGACAAAGAAGAAGAAAGCATGTTTACAGGGCTGCATCGCGAGTCAACGAGGAAGCTGCACGCAGCTTGAAAACGTGCGCCACCTCCTGGAAGAGTGCTTGCACTGCAACCCAATGGCTCCAGTTAGGCCTGCAGACTACATTGATTATACTCTTTGGGTATTTCGGTAAAGTCACGTAGATAGGTTCAAAGAAAATAACAGCTCTCACCTGAAGACGATTGCTTGTGTTGCAATCAAAACGTCGTGATCTATTATTTTTCTATCTACGTGACTTTATCGAAAGACCCAAAGAGTATAAATTCCTGCAGTACAAAAGCTTTAAATCAAGATTTTCATTGATTATACTTGTGTAGTGGAGTAAAAGATGAGCATGGGTAAATTGGCCACATACAGTACATACAGACATACAAGCAGTGTGGGTCACATAAGGTGGAGCAAGTGGTGGAGTCACGGGTGGCGTAAACAAACCGAAGTAATTAAAGGAGTCATGGCATGAGGGCTGTGATTGGTCGAGAGGCTGTTAGCATTAAGTGGCGGCGGCGCGAAGTCTGGAAAGTTGGACAGGTGCGAGCTGGCGGGAAAATGCCAGCGAGACACGTGGCAATTAATTAAGGCTGATTGGAAAGGGGATCAAACGCTAGGTGATTTGGACGGGGAGTTGAGTTGTTGTTGGGCAGTTGTTGGCGAGAGGTAGAGAGAGCAGCGAGAGCAGCGAGAGATGCGAAGAGGAGAGCCGGCAAATGTTAGGGAAGAATAGATTGAGAGCCGAACCCAAAGGACAGTAAATAGCGATAGGGAGAGTTAGCGTTAGCAGAGAGGTAGTTACGGGGGAGATAGGTACAGGGAGAGTTATAGATAGACAAGTCACTGTGTGTGCGGAGATAGATAGAGTCACTGTGTGTGCGGAGATAGATAGAGTCACTGTGTGTGAATAGACAGACAAGTCACTGTGTGTGCGGAGATAGATAAAGTCACTGCGTGTGAAGAGATAGACGAGACACTGTGTGTGAGGAGATAGAGAGAGAACCACTGTGTGTGGGAGGAGTATGAGCGGACGGTGCTGAGGGGAATCGGAGTGTCCAAGTTGGCAGAGCGCGGAGAGGAGAAATTATAGTGTGTGCGGAACGATGGAAATAAAAGTGACGGTGGAAGAAAGGCGGTTGTCGTCCGAGTAAATTCACGGCACTACACTTGTATTGTTTATCCGGCATTGGAGTCCCTAAATGCGAAATCCGGCTGGATGGGATCCGGCTAGCCAGCGTTTAAGCTGTGTCAGGTGGTGGCGGGTTTTAACGACACATTTATATATTTACGCAATCTGACCCAAAAAAACTATATTATGGATGTAGTGACAAAGTTATATATTTGACAAGCATTAGAATGTTACTTGTAAATGGATATACACGGATGATGCACTGTCACACTGAAATAAAAACCAAGACAATAGGGGCACTAAATGAAATTGGTAAATGACAAGAAAGCTCATCAGAATAGAAAAAAATAATAAAGACACTGTGAACATGGGTACCATTTTACGGGAAGCCTTCTCAAGTTTCTTCCGCTGAGACAAAATCCGGAAAGCTCGAACCAAGATGATGAGTCGCAGGACTCGTAAGATGACCACCAGCCTAAGAATAAAACCACAAACGCACTCATTTCACTTGTTCAGTTATCAACTGTGTTGCAATGCCAATGCTACGTTTTACAGGAAACAAATTGCAAGTGGGCTGCTATGAGCAGTGACACCTTGTTGATGTCCTCTGTGAAGGCCATAAAGGGGTTAGATTTGGAATAAAGCATTGGGCGTAGCTCAAAGGGCGCCCAGAGAAAGCCGCATAGGAAACCTAGAGTGATATGACTGATGGAAATACCTGACAATGTCAGTAAAATAAGAAAACACCACCAGGTGCACGATAGCGATGAGCAGAGTGACAAACACGATGACAGCGTCCAGCACATTGAGCCAGTCATGGAAGTATTGGTGGAACCTAACCGGAAGACAACATTAAAACATGAATTCATTACAAAGATACATGAATTTTATGTTCAGCAGAATAATGTGCCAATGAAGCTTAACTTTAAACTACTCTTTGATTCTTTCGGTAAAGTCACGTAGAAAGAAAATAAATAATAGAATACGACGTTTCGATTGCAACACAAGCAATTGTCATCAGATAGAACTAAATTTGAGAGAGATACAAAACACAGACACGGAGACACAAAGCCAGACACACAAGCAGAGAGAGACACACAACATAGTCACACACATTAAATTATTTCGCCATTCCAATATTAAACAGAGAAAATGTATTGTTATTTATTGCTACTGTGTGGCAATCAATGTGAATACTTCACAATACTTTATGTAAGGAATGTTCTCAAATATGTAGATGATCAGCATTGTGATGTTTCTTTTTTTATGAGATAAGTTATCTTCCTGACAGGTTGCTTAAAAGTCTGTGACTATAGTTTAAAAGTCTGTGACTATAGTTTAAAAGTCTTTTTCAAAAAAATATAGATGGACTAGTCCTGGGCAAACTGCCAAATCGCTGCGCGTGACGCCAACGTTTTTTTATAATTAAATAAATGCGCCGTTTCAAAATAAATGTATGCAAACCAACACACCTGAAGACGACCTTTTGAGTTATGGTCGAAACGTCGTGATAATTTTTTATTGTTTTATATATATTTTGTTGTTTCTCTTCAACGTGACTTTACCGAAAAAACTAAGAATATGAAGTATCTGTGACTATATTTTAAAAATCTGTGACTATAGTTTAAAAGTCTGTGACTAGAGTTTAAAAGTCTGTGACTATAGTTCAAAAGTCTGTGACTATAGTTTAAAAGGGTTCAAATGTTTCTGATTCAACAATGAGATAATAAAAACTTTCGTGACTGCAGGAATTCATATTCTGTGGTTCTTTTGGTAAAGTCACATAGATTAAAAAAAACCCACGACGTTTCGATCGTAACACAAGTAGTCGTCATCAGGAAAAGGGTGGGGGGGTTAGCCTCCAAAGGCAAACTGTTTATAAAGGTTTACAGATGGGCGTAGTCCAAGTTTGTCAGCAGCATGGGTGGGACAGCTAATGTTAATATAGGAGAAGACAACGGGGGAGAGAGAGAGGGGGTAGAGTTAGGGGGAGAGAGAGGGGGTAGAGATAGGGGGAGAGAGTGAATAAGGGGAGAGAGAATGGGGTAGAGATAGGGGGAGAGAGTGAATAAGGGGAGAGAGAGGGGGGTAGAGATAGGGGAGAGAGAGGGGGTAGAGATAGGGGGAGAGAGTGAATAAGGGGAGAGAGAGGGGGTAGAGATAGGGGGAGAGAGAGGGGGGGGTAGAGATAGGGGGAGAGAGAGGGGGTAGAGATAGGGGGAGAGAGAGGGGGTAGAGATAGCGGGAGAGAGTGAATAAGGGGAGAGAGAAGGGGTAGAGATAGGGGGGGAGAGAGGGGGTAGAGATAGGGGGAGAGAGTGAATAAGGGGAGAGAGAGGGGGTAGAGATAGGGGGAGAGAGTGAATAAGGGGAGAGAGAGGGGGTAGAGATAGGGGAGAGAGAGAGGGGGGTAGAGATAGGGGGAGATAGAGGGGGAGATATAAGGGGAGAGAGAGGGGGGTATCTCTACCCCCTTTCTCTCCCCTATCTCTACCCCCTCTCTCTTCCCCGGTGTCTTCTCCTACATTTACATTAGCTGCTCCGCCCATGCTGTTGACACACTTGGACTTCGCCCATCTGTAAACCTTTATAAAACAGTTTGCCTTTGGAGGCGAACCCCCCCCTTTTTCTGATGACGACCGCTTGTGTTGCGATCAAAATGTCGTGGGTTTTTTATTTTCTATCTCTCTGACTTTATCGAAAGAATAAAGAAAATTAGATACTAGTCCATTTATTCACTTTATTTGGAAACACAACCAATTAATTTTATTTGAATGTTATAACCGATAGTTTGACCAAGTTATTATTGTCCAATTCACAACCAAACCAATGTGAATTTGTAATGTCATCTTATATAAATTTACGTCATGCCTTAGTCCAAGGAGCTTTAGAATTATAAAAGTGTACATTATATGATAGTGGTTAACATAAAGAGTAGGGTTAATAAAAGTGGTGGTGTAGCTATGCACAGACCCCTCAACAAAGACGTGCAGCCCCACGTCCACTGCAAAAAAGATGGCAATGAAGAGGGACAGATCTTCAAGCATCACGAGGGCATTGGGAAGCATCACGAATAGACTCATGATCACCAGTGCCACGTCCACAACAATAAGCACCATGCCCAGGATTCTGCAACACAGACATCCTCCATAGTTGACAGCACAACTAAGGTTGCCACCTGTCCTGGCTTTCCCAGTTCCGTCCTCATTTTGAGATAGCTGTCCTTGGAAATTATCTAAAGTCTTCCCAGGACATAAAAATGTGTACAATAATACATTGCTCAAGACAATACATTTATGTGCAGTTGTCCCCTCTTCCACTATTGTGAGATATTATTCTTCGCATTATATGTTGTGTTTTTTTGTACCGCAGAGATGGCAACCCTAAGCACAAAATAAAACATCTTCAGCAGTGAGTACTATTCCTGTGAGTATATGAAACATCAGACATCCTCAGTAATAAATATAATACCACACAGAAGACCCCACATTGGCTGTAAGTATGATTTTAACCGTGAACCCTTGCAAAGTGAACGAGTGTTCAGCAAAAAAACCGCCAAGCTATGCATCCACGCCACTCAATGCTCGAGTGTAAATGAGGCACACAATTTAACATGCAAATGAGGAATCTCTTTACGTTACCTGAATCCAAATGAAAGCACCACTCTCCCCACTGCATGCTTCCAACGGCTGTCAGATAACCTAAAGCAAAAAAACGAGTTCACATATCCACTGGCATGACATTCGGGATGTAATTAAAAGCAACAAAATTTACACCACGAGACACTCTCATAACAAGCCACATGTTTACACGAGCATTGTTACACTTCACCTCCATGGCATTTCAATTAATCTCTTCCTTTTTTGTCTGGTTTGTTCCATCTCATGAGGTAATGTCTGTCACACATGTTTTATTGTTTATTCTGCAGTAAGCATTCTCTTAGCCAAAATATAACTGAACATATAACTTACATCTTCTTGGTTCTTTCGGTAAAGTCACGTAGAAGGGAAATAATAAAATAATAAAAATCTAACATAATAAAATTATCACGACGCTGTCTTCCCGACAGTTCTGTTTCTTCACCTGAAGGCGGCTGCTTGTGTTGTGGCCGAAACGTCGTGATAATTTATTTATTATGTTTATTTTTTATTATTTTATTCTTTCCCTTCTACGTGACTTTACCGAAAAAACCAAGAAGATGAATCGATGCAGTCACGAAAGCTTCAAATCAAAATTTTATATATGCATTGTCCTTGAAACTGATTGGTCCACATCAGAGACAGCTTTCGTCCTCTGGTCTAAACACCGTTTGAGACGAGGCTCAAAAGAAAGCTGTCTCTGGTGTGGACCAATCAGTTTCAAAGACAATGCATATATCATCAGAGTGTGTTTTTTGTTTGCATTCTGACCACAAGCATTGTGGTTAATGCAGTCATGATTCCTTGTTAAAGGTTTGAGTTTGGTGTTTTAACATCTTAACACCTGTTTTGTTGCCAGAAAAAAGGGGAAAACCCTATTATCTTACATATATATGTTTATGAATCGTAAAGATTCGATTGTCAGTCGTGATTGTATGCAAGTATCATGAGTGTAAAACACAATGTTATTTTATTTACCAGGTAAAACCCACTGAGCTATTACCTCTTTTTCAGAAGCAACCTGGCCACAAATGATAGCTCAACGAAGTAGCTTATGTGGAAATGTATAGCAGCCAAATAATAAACATGCATGTTTCTAAAGAATGTTAATGGATGTAAGAATCCTAATCGTTTAATCTTCATGTGCCTAACTAAATGAACCATTTTCCCAGGCACATGAGGTTCAAGTGTGAACAGCATATAAAGGAAAAAGTGGACATTATCAGGGAGATTTAAGGAACTACCCTATTTCGCCCAACTGCCATGCAAGGTGAATGAACCGGTAACTTTCGAATGGAAAATCCAGTGTGTTAACTATTCCACCATGGCAGCATCCCATGGGGTAAAAAACTATTTTCTTTAGAACTGCTTTTTGTAATAATAGGGGTTTTCCCCTTTTTTCTGGCAACAAAACTGAAACCCTTTTTTACAAGGATTCATGTCTGCATTAACCACAATACCTGCAGTCAAAATGCAAACAAAAACATACTATGATAATATATGCATTGCCCTTGAAACTGATTGGTCCTCACCAAGGGACGGCTTTCTTTTGAGCCTAGGCCCAATTGGTGCTCGACCAGATGACGCCATAAGGCTTTTGGTGAGGACCAATCAGTTTCAAGGACAATGCATATATTATCATAGTATGTTTTTGTTTGCATTTTGATTACAGGGATTGTGGTTAATGCAGACAGGAATCCTTGCAAAAAAAGGTTTCAGTTTTGTTGCCAGAAAAAAGGGGAAAAACCCTATTATTAAATTTTGGTACTGGCAAAGGAGGTCCAATGATGATGATGAACTGCTTTTTGTGTTTAGTTTATTGTCCTTCCTCTCTGCGCCTCTGATTATCAAACTTGCCTATGTGTGGTGCGACAGAAGTTCAACAAACATACATACAACATAAATGATTACATTTGGCTTTTATATGTCACAATGGCCGAATGGGTGGCATAACAACATACTCCTAGTGAATGTGTGTGCAACTTCCAATGACTACCTGCCGCCAGTGGACGAACATCTATTTGCATGCACAGTGTCTTCTAACTGCACACGCAGACCATCTTCGTTGTGCTCCCCAGTTCTCACAGCACTGCACATCTCCCACGGATGGCAAATAACACGCACATGTACAAAAAACACCCGGCCTTTGTGAATTATGCAAAAAAATAACATCAGCAATTCCTGAAGAACTGCATTGTTGCACCTCCTGTTTTAGGTCCCCATCAACAAATATTTTAGATAAGGTGGCTGACTGACAGCAGTGAGAGAGAGATAGACAAATGTGGACCATTAATTTCGATTTAAAGTTTTCGTGACTGCAGGGATTTATATTATTGGTTCTTTCAGTAAAGTCACGTAGAAGGGAAATAATAAAATAATAAAAATAAAACATCATAAAATTCTCACGACGTTTCGGCCACAACGCAATCAGCCGTCCTCAGGTGAAGAAACAGAGCTGTCGGAAAGACAGCGTCTTAATGAACACTGCTAAGCTTGACAGCGTATTTAAAGCTGGGTGGGAGGAGGAGAGAGCCTTGACAAAAGAGTTTACATATCAACAGAGGAATTTAGCATATTGATGACAAATGCAGATATGGGGTTAGTCACTCCTTGCGGAATGTGTAGGCGGTGGGGGGTCTCAGAGTCATATTGTGCTAGTGTATTATGTAGGATTAGCAGTAATAAAGGGAGGGAAATTTTAATAATAAAGAACTGCAGCAGCCAAACCACCGCGTATCAAGCTAGTGTATTATTTGTAAAACAAAAAAGGAGTTTCTAAAGAACGACAAATGCCCTACTACCATAAAATAAACCGATACGAAAAACCTAAATATAACCTACATCAATATAATCAATGTACACAATATACTCTCCAATAAGCTGAGCTATTAACATTAAGTAACTGGGTATATACTACACTATATAATGAATACCATACAGTAAACTGATAAAAAAAACTAAAATATAAACTACATCAATATACAATTTTGATTTAAAGCTTTAGTTGCTGCAGTAATTCATATTCTTAGTTCTTTCGGTAAAGTCACGTTGAAGGGAAACAACAAAATATATATTTATTTAATATATTTTATTATTTTGTTGTTTCCCTTCAACGTGACTTTACCGAAAGAACTAAGAATATACATCAATATTATCAATAAACTCAATATACTCTCTAATAAGCTGAGTTTACATATCAACAGATGAATTTAGCATATTGACGCTAAAGAATTGCAATTACCACTAATACCGATGTGAAAAAACTAAATATAAACTACATATTCTTTGGTTCTGTCGGTAAAGTCACGTAGATGGAATTTTTTTTAAAAAATAATAAGAACCAAAAACTCACACGACGTTTTGATCGCAACACAAGCGGTCATCATCATTTACGTAACTTTACCGAAAGAACCAAATAATATGAATTCCTACAGTCAACGAAAGTTTGAAGTCACTGATACAAGTGTTTGTTGATGTACGTATGTGCTCAGAATCATCAGTCGTACTTGACTGTTATAGAGCACAATACTGTCATTACCCGCTAGATGTCAGTCAAATAACCCATGAAATACACACTTCGTATATACAGTACTGGATTATACAGGTAGGAACAACAGGTTCCACAATGCCCACCAGGAATTATTTGTCTGTCTGTCGTGCATATCCGGAATTCCATCCACAGAATTGGAGTTTCGGCACAAGTTCGACTGCCATGCTGTTAGACTCAATGGCTGCGCGGGGGCAGTCGCGCAACGCTTGTGCTGCAGCAACGAACAGCTACGACTGCGGCGTCTACGCCCTGCTCAACATCATGCACCCGGTGCGCGATTACGACGGCATCGTGGCCGTTCAAGGACCAGATCAGGTGGATTGGCGCGCGTGGTACACGCAGGAGGCGGCGTCACAGCACAGGCGCAACCTGCTGCTGCAGCAGCTGCATGAACTTAAAGACCAACATCAGCAATAAATCAAGAATCATCATCAGATGCAATAGTAACAGCTACAACCTCCAACATGATGACAGTATCCAACGCGGATCGCACAAATGCGCTGTCCAACCAAGTTCCTACCTGCCCACTCCGAAGGAACGTGTTATTTAGGTTTTTCACATCGATTTATTGTATGGTAGTAGGGTATTTGTAGTTTTTTAGAAACTCCTTTTTTGTTTTACGCATAATACACTAGCTTCATACGCGGTGGTTTGGCTGCTGCAGTTCTTTATTATTAAAATGTCCCTCCCTTTATTACTGCTAATCCCACATAATACACTAGCATAACATGACTCTGAGACCCCCCACCGCCTACACATTCTGCAAGGAGTGACTAACCCCATATCATAATTTGTCATCAACATATTCTTAGCTCTTTCGGTAAAGTCACGTTGAAGGGAAACAATAAAATAATATAATATATATATAAAACAATAAAAATTCTCACGACGGTTCGACTATAACACAAACGGTCGTCATCAGGTGTGAAAAAACCAACGGCAAGAAACATTTGAAAGAAGTGTCGGTTTTCCTTTTATTTATTTATTTTAAAACGGTGTATTTATTTATTAAAAACGTCAGCGCCACGCGCAGCGATTTGGCAGTTTATTTAGAAGGACGAGTCCATCTATGTTCTGAAAAGAGGAGGGAGGCGAAAAATTAATGTATGCTGTCTGAAAGCCACCGTAAGTGTGAACAATCAATTAAGACCTGAAATGGTTTATCAAATCCTTCCAATGATTGCTAAGCCAGAATCCATCTTCTCGGTTGAAATTCTCTCTGTGCTTGTATATGTGAATAGCCTCATTAACGAATCTCTCATGGTAGCCAGATGGCTTAAAAATAACCTCTGTCTTGGAAAAGTCAATGTCATGTGAGCCTACTGAATTATAACAATGATCTGCCACGGCCGAGGTGTTGGTCCTACCGTGTTTAAGGTTTGCTTTGTGTTCACGAATGCGGTTCGAGACATGGCGTTTGGTTTCTCCAATGTAACTACTACCATAGAGGCAATTTAGTTTGTAGACACCAGGGTACTGTATGTCCGGAATCACATCTTTTACAGACGGAACCAGATCACGGATTTTATGTAATGTGTTGAAACGGACCTGGATCTTGTGTTTATTCAAGATTTTGGAGCTGACGTTTTTTTGTAATTAAATAAAACAACGTCTAGAAATAAATAAATATATAAATGCGGACTGACACTTCTTTCAAATGTTTCTTGCCGTTGGTTTTTTCACACCTGATGACGACCGTTTGTGTTATGGTCGAAACGTCCTGAGAATTATTATTGTTTTATATATATTTTATTATTTTATTGTTTCCCTTTAACGTGACTTTACCAAAAGAGCTAAGAATATGAATTACTGCAGTCACGAAAGCTTTAAATCAAAATGTCATCAACATGCTTATATCCTCTGTTGATATGTAAACTCTTTTGTCAAGGCGCTCTCCTCCTCCTACCCAGCATAAAATACGCTGCCAAGCTTAGCAGTTGTCTTTTTGACAGCTCTGTTTCTTCACCTGAGGATGGCTGCTTGCGTTGTGGCCGAAACGTCGTGAGACTTTTATTATATTATGTTTTATTTTTATTATTTTATTATTTCCCTTCTACGTGACTTTACCGAAAGAACCAAGACAATTTGGACCAGTTCATGTTTATGTCCACAGCAAATAAATACATGGCTTAAAAACCCCACTTTAAAAAATTACCTCTATTGATTATTGCAAATCCAAAGACACTTAATTAAACCGTACTTTATAAAAAAAAAACAATCGTAACATGTGTGTATGTGGATCAGGGGAATTCCAATTATTAAAACTGTCTACAATACGTATTCTTGCTTCTTTCCCAACGACGTGCATGCTGCTATATTGCACATCATTATCTAGAGATGTGGTTAAATTTAGACACTATACATCAACATTTTACTGTAAAACAAGTACATACGAGAAGCTGAGTCCAAGCCATGCGTTAATATTCGGAGTGTAAAATAATTTTCATGTGCAGCTATTCTAGTAATTTCAGCTTCTTTGCTCACGATTTCACTATATAAATGAATATATATGCAAGTGGCCCTTAAGTTAGTGATTTCAGACTTGTAAAAAGTGACCAAACTTATGCAATTCCAGAAGGAGATAGCTGACAACTGTATCATTCACTCTTAAATGTTGCTCTTGGATGTAATTAATTATTGTATATCCTAGTTATCATAATCATACTATCAGCCATGCCATGAGTTTAAATTCCTGTAGGCAGTTCATGATTGCTAAGCTCCAGGGTGATTTCAACAAACTACAACATCAGCTAGTTGCTCTTAAACTAGTCCTGAATATCTCCAAAACCAAGGTGCTATGCTTCTCACCATGACTAAAGCGGGAAGTTATTTTTCCCCAATTACATTCCTTAAATAATTATCAAATAGAGCAGGTCAAGATCTATAAGTATATTGGGGTCATCCTTGATTCAAAACTGAATTTTCAAGATCACATTGATTATATTGATAAAAAGACAAAAATAAAAATTGGTTTTCTGTATCGACACAAGCACTGCTTCCCCCCAATGTTCCGTTTGGAATTGATAAAAGCTACCATACTGCCTCTACTCTACTGTGACATCATTTATAAATAAGCCCCCAGGTCTGTACTGAAGAAGCTTGACTCAATTTATCACTCGGTCTTAAGATCTGCATTGAACTGCCCATATAGGACCCACCACTGCGATCTCTACATTGGGTCAAACTTAACATCTCTTAATGATCAACGGCTTGTGCATCAGATCTTATTTATTCACGATGTATTTACAAAAAAATCAGCACACTACTTGCTGGATCTCCTCACTGTTTCGAAGAACAAATGTGACCTAAGGTCTTCGCTCATTTACCAGCTTCCCATTCTTTATTGCCATACAAATTCTGGAGGAAGGTTCTTTGCTATTGATGCCCCCAGCGTCTGGAATGCTATCGCCAATAAACTGCAGCTTGGATCACTACCTGTGAGATCTTCACTCAAAACTGCTCTAGAGGAGTAGTACACCCCTAGCTGCCACTGCTATTCAGTGGCCTGAAATAAAATGTATCGCTCTAGATGACCACTGCAAAGTATGATCTTGAGTTTTGATTATAGTGTGCTGATCTTTAAAGGTGCATTGAAATGTTTTGATGCTCCTACTGATACTCCTGTTGTTATGGAGTGACTCATGCTGCCAGCTATGGCTGCAAAGTTTGGTCGTACATGATATGTATATCGTTTATTGTTAAATTTGAATCACAGTTCCTATGATCACTGTTACATTGTTTTTTATAGCCTTATTTTGATGATTTCGAAAACGTTTTGGTTTCGCCATATTTGTTTGTTGTAGTACAGAGTTAGACTGATAACTTTAATCTAAATTGTCTTATGGTTGTTATTGTTTGACTTGCATCCCACTGGGATTTTTGCACACAGCGTTGATATACGGCGCTTTTTCTGGAAGACTTTGCTGTTTTTTCCTGGATTTTTCTGTTGCGCGTAGTCACTTTAAGATGTTTCTTGTTCATGTTTTTGTTTGTTGCGGTTGCACCCGATTCTAGAGCCGCATGGCTCACAGGGCTATACCTAATAAATTAACTGAACTGAACTTCAATAGGCCTCTATTACCCTAGACACTGATCCTTTCTTCTAAATACTGTAGTACTGTCCCATGTCAATGATTGAATCATTAATGAACGTTAGGGAAGATCAAGTAAGAAACCAAGTCAATATGGCAGCATTGTAGGTGTCAATATTGAAACCATAAACACACTATACAAGGGAATAATAAAGTGGTGGCGGACCAGATTTGAACTCTATCTGTTAAATTCCATGAATCATGGAGTCAGCCACCTCACTTTCCGAAGATTATTCCTCATGAAAGATACTGCAATAGTTATACGGCCGGCTGCTGTGTCCGTGATTCACCTGGCCTCTCTCTCAGTTCCACGGAAGGTGACCACCACACTGCCCTCTGTGTTCATGGTGTCACCTGCTGCCCAAAGTGCCAGTTTCAGCCAGTGTCAGAACTTGCACTGAAACGAGTCAAGCTGACAAGGACCACAGTTAGCAACCACCATCATCATGCCACAGTCTTGAGATTCAACTCTGATAAGGGAGAAATGTGGCTTTATTTCAGATATGAGATGCACAATTTTTTATTACAGTATAGGTTGTTTCACACTGGACACCAAGTAAATATGTGAAAACTAGATTACGTACACTACTGTATATGCGGTTCAATATACAAAACACAAAGTAATGTATCATGTATACACACAAAATACCCTGGTGCGCTCATAGCATAAGCAGGACATTCGACTCCCGATTAACCTGGGTAATGGAGGGAGGGGTGGCCAGTTAAACTAAAATAATGAATAGTAATGATTTGAAGCTTTCGTGACTGCAGGAATCAATACTCTTTGGTTCTTTCGGTAAAGCCACCGAAAGAACCAAAGAGTATAATGAATAGTAATTAAATACATTTGTGTTTGCTCGATTCTTATAGTGCAGGGCTATAACAAAGGCACTATGTTTCACACAGATATAGTCTGCTAGTAGGGAGCAATGTTCCTGCGTGTAATCTACATCCAGTAATTTGCAGGATTTTTTCCCTTAAATTGATCATATTTGGACCTTGATGCTGGCACACAATGTATTACAAAAGTATGCAAAATCAACTAATTTATTTTAAAAGTAAAATAATAAAATGTTGCTTGCACATTGTATTGTGGGAAGATTTGTGCTTGTGAGCACGACACACAATCTACTGAGCAATGCTTTCCTCGGCCCAATTAACATTTCATTCAAAATAATTGGTGCCCTACATTCCTGAGGTGGAAAAATAAGATAAATAATAGGTGAGGTACACATATATGACACTAAAATAAAATGAAACTAGATAGGGATAATCTTGATTTTAAGCTTTCGTGACTGCAGGAATCCATACTCTTTGGTTCTTTCGGTAAAGTCACGTAGTTAGAAAATAAAATAAATCACGACGTTTCGGGCACAACACAAGCTTTCTCACCTGATGACTTATTTTATTTTATACCTACGTGACTTTACCGAAAGAACCAAAGAGCATAGATAGGGATAAGGTTTGTCTAGCACTCAATCATTAAGAAAGTTTTTAAAGAAGATGGAGATAAACGTCAGCACTGTCATTTGAGAGCACAAATTACAAGCTTAAACTACCCAGACTGCCGCATTTCACCCAACACTCACAAAGACTCTGTTCTTCTTATCCCTACACAATAAATCCACCTTTCTATTACCTATGCACTACATTCTTTACATTGTCCACTTCGATGGTAAAGGATAGTATCGGCATAGAATATCCACTGTTAACCTCCCAAAAAATAGTGCGTGCTTTACCAACCTTGAAGGGATGATGAGCCGAGTCTACCTACAATCAGGATTTCAGATCGTTAGGTGACACCGAATGGATGATTTAACCGTCACCTTCAGAATTGCAAAGTTTCGTGCAAGTGTTGTCTTTTCTGGAGCCTAATATGGAGACGAATTACCTTGAGGAAATCTTGGGAAGTGAAGAAATGGCAGTAGCACGTTGCCTGCAACCAGAAAAATACCAGTACATGCCAAACATTGTATACTAATGACCTAATCGTTCATCAGTGCAATACAGTAAATAATATTCTTGGTTCTTTCGGTAAAGTCACGTAGAAGGGAAACAATAAAATAATAAAAATATAAAACAATAAAATTCTCACGACGTTTCGACTGCAACACAAGCAATCATCATCAGGTGTGAAAACCACAGCAAAAAAATTTGAATTAAGTGGCGTTTTTTTTTACGTTAGCACCACGGAGAGCGATTTGGCAGTTATTCAGATGGACGAGTCCATCTATCTTCTTTGGTTCTTTCAGTAAAGTCACGTAGAATGAGAATAAACTAATAAAATAAAACAATAAAATTCTCACGACGTTTCGGCCACAACACAAGTGGCCTTCTTCAGGTGAAAGGAACAAACCTGTCGGGACGACAGAGCTACAATGAACGCTGCTAAGATTAACAGCGTCTTTTAAGCTGGTTGAGAGAAGTGAGGCACCTTGACAAAGGGGTTTACATGGATCTTGGTTTACCTAGATCTTGTGTTTATTCAGGATTTTGGAGATATTTTTAGTGACCCCAGCAATGTAGGGTACGGTGATGGTTTTGAGTGGTTCCACAAGAGGATCCTTCTTCATGACTGTATGATAGTTGAGTTGTTGCAGCCCCTTTGGCATTCATGCACTAGGTGCCTCTGTGGATGTGTAGGCTTTGACTTTAACATAGCTATTTCTGTGACCAGTCACAAGCTAATCCCTCAACTGTTTCAATGCTAAATTCTCCTGTTTGATATGTAAACCCCTTTGTCAAGGTGGCTCACTTCTCTCAACCAACTTAAAAGACGCTGCGAATCTTAGCAGCGTCCATTGTAGCTCTGTCGTCCCGACAGGTTTGTTCCTTTCACCTGAAGAAGGCCACTTGTGTTGTGGCCGAAACGTCGTGAGAATTTTTTGTTTTATTTTATTATTTCATTCTCATTCTAAGTGACTTTACCGAAAGAACCAAATAAGATGAATCCTTGCAGTCACGAAAGCTTTAAATCGGAGTCCATCTATGTTTGGATAAGAGAAGGGGAGAGACGAAAATAATGGATGCGGTCTGAAAGCCACCGTAAGCATGAACAATCAATTAAGACCTGAAATGGTTGATCAAATCCTTCCAATGATTGCTAAGCCAGAATCCATCTTCTCGGTGGAAATTGTCTCTATGTTTGTATATGTGGATAGCCTCATGAACGAATCTCTCATGGTAGCCAGATGGCTTGCAAATAACCTCTGTCTTGGAGCAATCAATGTCATGTGAGCCTACTGAATTATAACAGTGATCTGCCACGGCCGAGGTGTTGGTCCTACCGTGTTTTAGGTCTGCTTTGTGTTCACGAATGCGGTCCGAGACATGTCGTTTGGTTTTTCCAATGTAACTACTACCACAGAGGCAACTTAGTTTGTAGACGCCAGGGTACTGTATGTCCGGAATCACATCTTTTACAGACGAAATCAGATCACGGATTTTATGTAATGTGTTGAATCGGACCTGGATCTTGTGTTTATTCAAGATTTTGGAGATCTTTTTTGTGATCCCCGCAATGTAAGGTAAAGTGATGGTTTTGAAAGGCTCCTCAAGAAGGTCCTTCTTCATGGTTGGAGTGATAGCTTTGCGGATTGTGTAGTCGGAGTAACCATTAGCCTTAAGAGCTTGGTGTACGTGCTTGAGTTCACTGGCTATGTGTTCCTGGTCAGATATGCATTGGGCTCTATGGTGCAGAGTCTTGATGAGGGAATTATTCTGGGATGGATGGTGGTGGGAATCGGTTTCAGGTAAACATCCGTATGGGTAGCTTTCCTATAGACAGAGTGGCTCATTGAACCATCAGGTCTTTTTTTTATTAGGACATCCAAAAAAGGTAGCTTGCCATCTTTTTCGACTTCCATGGTAAATCTGATGGCTGGGTGTATGGAATTGATGTGGTCGAAGAATTGGTCTAGAACAGGCTGGCCATGTGGCCAGTAGTTACATTGGAGAAACCAAACGACATGTCTTGGACCGCATTCATGAACACAAAGCAGACCTAAAACACGGTAAGACCAACACCTCGGCCGTGGCAGATCACTGTTATAAATCAGTAGGTTCACATGACATTGACTTCTCCAAGACAGAGGTTCTTTGCAAGCCATCTGGCTACCATGAAAGATTCGTTCATGAGGCTATCCACATATACAAACACAGACACAATTTCAACCGAGAAGATGGATTCTGGCTTAGCAATCATTGGAAGGATTTGATAAACCATTTCGGGTCTTATATTATTGTTCACGCTTATGGTGGCTTTCAGACCGCATCTATTATTTTCGTCTCCCCGCTCCTCTTTTCCGAACATAGATGGACTCGTCCATCTGAATAACTGCCAAATCGCTCTCCGTGGTGCTAATGTTAAAAAAAGAAAAAAAAACGTCACTTTTTTCAATTTTTCTTCCAGTGGTTTTCACACCTGGTGATGATTGCTTGTGTTGCAGTCGAAACGTCGTGATAATTTTATTGTTTTATATTTTTATTTTATTGTTTCCCTTCTACGTGACTTTACCGAAAGAACTAATAATATGAATCCCTGCAGTCATGAAAGCTTTCAATCAAAACAGTAAATAATGTAGGCTTTCGCGACCAATATTATCAATAATAGTTTTTTTGTTAGATTTCATAAATATAAATGTGTAGTTAAACCTGCCACCATCCGACACAAACAATTAAGAACGAAACAGGAGGATTTCTCCACAAATCTGGCTGTCACCTGATGCTAGTTGTAATTACTGGCGAAACGTCATACTCGAATTGTAAATGTTGTTGGATTACTCTCCAACACACCGGTGTGCTGTACGAGTAGCATACTGGCATGTTGTGTTTACGTGACAAACCTTATTAATTGGCTGTGTCGGGTGGTGACGGGTTTAACGACACATTTATATTTACGTGATGGAACCCAAAAAAAACTCTATTGCAGTAAATACTGATTGAGTACAATAACATTCAGAGGGCAGTGCAGCAACATGAATTGTTGCGGTCTACTCCCTCCACCTTAGCCAACAGCGTGAAGTATGCAGGGCAAATTACCCATTCTGCAGAACATGGGGAGCCCGAATCCAACAACGGAGTGATAAACGGGCCGTTAGTGTAAATGTACAGTAAAGCAGTAAGCACACAAAAACACACATGGCCATCTTCACACTTCTGTGCAATAAAGTGACCACATAGCGAGGCGAGTTAAAGAACTTACTTTTGCATTGATTGCTTCCACATGAACGGCACAAGACAAAGGCACAAATTGGCCCTTGTTGGCACAAGGCAGCTGCCCCTGTTTTTTCCTCAGTTACCTTTAAACCAGCGCCCTGCCAGCTGCTACTTGAGGCACACACAAGTCAATGCACACATTAAGCACAACTCCCAAGGAACAATATGGCTGGAGCAAACCCATCACATGACACATCTGGAATGTTGGAGGGGGTTGTGTATTTCTCAGGATGCGGAGGATTTAAAAAACATATATCCTTGGTTCCCTCCCACCCACACCGCCAAGCCACTCACGCCCTCATCCTGCCTGACTTTCACAGAAAGCAACTGTACCATTGATGTCTTTTTGCTGAGTCTAGAGGGTTTTTTTGCAGATTCTGTTCTTTTTTGAGGCGATCGTCATTTTCTAATTGGTAGTCAGAAAAGAAAGCACTTTGGGTGTAAATCAGGAAAAGTACAATTTATGGAATGTTTTTCTTCTAATTTTACCTATCTTTGTCAAACGCACCGTTCAGATATTTTTTACAACCCGTATCATGTTCACAACCTATTCTATCCTATTCCAGTTGGAATGGTGCGGCTAAGTGCTTTGGTTGCAAATGTCAAACGAATATAAAACGTCCAACCAACCTTCCTTCGGTGTCTGGGCCCAGGCCAGACAATACATTTTATCGGTACCATCTGAGGTGGCATAACTTTAGTGGTTTCAATATCTTTACATGGCCAATAAGAAAAGTGAATTATCTAACGACTATTTGAAACGAGGGGATTATCAAGAAATTTAATCAATCTGCTGTTACACAGTGAGAAAAAAAACGTAACAGATTCGGAAATAACACTGTTGTTGATATGTAAAAAATATAATAGGCCACGCTTCGGGTCATTGCCCGAAACGTCAGCCATTATATATTTTCCTGTTGGGGTTTCTGTCGTACACATCATTTGTATACAGACTTTCAGAATTGCAATCAGGTGAATCGTTAAAATCGGATATTCTGATCCACTGGAACGTGCAACCTCCACCGATATTCACATATCACGTAAGACTCGCTTTACGGAATCGACTTCATAATCAGAATATCTATTAATATTGGAGGAATCCGGTGCGCTAGGAAGCTCCGCTTAACAAATGTCCAGTAGGACGGGTCAGAACGTTACAATACAAAAACAAGGTATGAGTGAAACGTATAGGACAGGTAAGCTAATCACTAAACTATGTACACGTATATTCTTGGTTCTTTCGGTAAAGTCACGTAGAAGAGAAACAATAAATAATAAAAATATAAAACAATAAAATTCTCACGACGTTTCGAAAATTTCAAATGTTCTTGCTGCGGTTTTCACACCTGATGATGATTGCTTGTGTTGCAGTCGAAACGTCGTGAGAATATTATTGTTTTATATTTTTATTATTTTATTGTTTCCCTTCTACGTGACTTTACCGAAAGAACCAAGAATATGAATCCCTGCAGTCACGAAAGCTTTAAATAAAAAAAATATATGTACACGTATATTTTACCAGGTAAAGCCGACTTAGCTTTTCGCTTCTTTTTCAGAAGCGATCTGGCAGCAAATAGCTCAACGAAGTGGCTTATCACGTGGAAATTTATCTAAGCAGCCAAATCATCTACAGTGAGGGAAAAAGGTATTTTATCCCGTGCTGATTTTGTACGTTTGCCCACTAACAAAGAAATGATGTCTATAATTTTAATGGTAGGTTTATTTGAACAGTGAGAGACAGAATAACAACAAAAATCCAGAAAAACGCATGTCAAAAATTTAATAAATTTATTTGCATTTTAATGAGGGAAATAAGGATTTGACCCCCTCTCAATCAGAAAGATTTCTCATAATATTGGTCGCGAAAGCCTACGTGTTAGAAAGATTTATGGCTCCTAGGTGTCTTTTATACAGGTAACGAGCTGAGATTAGGAGCACACTCTTAAAGGGAGTGCTCCTAATCTCAGCTTGTTACCTGTATAAAAGACACCTGTCCACAGAAGCAATCAATCAATCAATCAGATTCCAAACTCTCCACCATGGCCAAGACCAAAGAGCTCTCCAAGGATGTTAGGGACAAGATTGTAGACATACACAAGGCTGGAATGGGCTACAAGACCATTGCCAAGCAGCTTGGTGAGAAGGTGACAACAGTTGGGGCGATTATTCGCAAATGGAAGAAACACAAAAGAACTGTCAATCTAGATTTGAAGCTTTCGTGACTGCAAGGATCCATACTCTTTGGTTCTATTCGGTAAAGTCACGTAGGTAAAAAATAAAACAACAAAAATCACGACGTTTCGGCCACAACACAAGTGGCCTTCATCAGGTGAAGGGACCAGAATTTCTCGAGAACAGCGCTGGAGTGAAACACAGCCAAGCTCAGACCGCGACCTTTAAGCTGTGTGAGAGTAATTAAGGTGCCTTGACAAAGGAATTAGCATAAAAATTAGCATTTTAATAGGCGGACTTAGCATGATGAAAGGTAGGGAGGGGGTCGACCTGTGCAGGCTGGCGAGGAGGCACGGCAGCGTCCACATGCTGGTGGTGTGAAAAGGGGATTTTAAGACGCTGCGAAAGTTTGGGGTACCACTACTTGAAAAATATACTGTACCATTGAAAAATGAGTTTAATGATTGGTTCGATTTAGAACATCTTTCCAATGGTTGCTTAATTTGAAACCATCTTCTCGGTTGAAATTGTGTCTGTGTTTGTAAATCTGAATTGCCTCGTGGACAAATCTCTGATTAAAAAAACCCGTGGATTTGCAGAGAACCTTGGTATCGAAGAAAACTATATGGTGATCATCCACAGCGTTGTAACAGTGATCAGCCACGGCAGAAGAATTCGTTCTGCTGTGTTTCAAATCTGAGGGTACCCCCATGGGTTCCACCTTGTCACCAGTGATAGCCAATGTTTCCATGGAGAAATTTGAATCAGACGCCATCCAGACTTCCACCCTCAGACCTTCCCTGTGGAAGAGATATGTAGACGACACTTTCGTCATTTGGCCACATGGCCTCCCAGCTTTGAACCGTTTCCTAGACCACATCAATTCCAGACACCCGGCCATCAAATTCACCATGGAAGTGGAGAAAGATGGCAAGCTGCCATTCTTGGATGTTCTGTTTGAGAGTAGACCTGATGGCTCCTTGGGACATTCTGTCTACAGGAAACCCACCCGCACAGATTCCTACTTGAAACCTGATTCCCACCACCACCCAACTCAAAAGAATTATCTCATCAAAACGTTATACAACAGGGCTCATTGTATTACGGACCAACACCACCTGACCAGTGAATTAAAACATGTACATCTGGCCCTCAAGAGGAACGGATACTCTGACCGTAACATCCGCCAAGCTGTTTCTCCCTCCATACAGAAACAACCACTTGATACTCTGATCAAAACCATCACACTACCATATATAGCAGGCGTTACTAAAAAGATCTCCAAAATTCTAAACAAACATAAGACCCTGGTCCGGTTCAATACAGTACACAAAATCCGTGACCTGATCCCATCTGTGAAGGATGTCATTCCTGACTTACAGTACCCCGGGGTTTACAAATTGAGCTGCACCTGTGGTGACTGCTATATCGGGGAGACGAAGCGACATGTCTCTGACTGAATTCGCGAGCACAAATCAGATTTGAAACACGGCAGAACGAATTCTTCTGCCGTGGCTGATCACTGTTACAACGCTGTGGGTGATCACGATATAGTTTTCTCCGATACCAAGGTTATCTGCAAACCCACGGGTTTTTATCAGAGATTTGTCCACGAGGCAATTCAGATTTACAAACACAGACACAATTTCACCCTAGAGGATGGTTTAAAATTAAGCAATCATTGGAAAGATGTTCTAAATCAAACCAAACATTAAACTAATTTTCAATGGTACAGTATATTTTTTCAAGTAGTGGTATCCCAAACTTTCAAAGCTGCTTATTTTCCTTCACACCAACATTATGTAAACTCCCCTCCCCCCTCCCGCGCCGGTCCTTCATGTACCTCCTACGTGCATCATGTTCATTTTTATACTAATTCCTTTGTCAAGGCGCTTTTGTTTCCTCCCACACAGATTAAAGGACGTGACCTGGGCTTGGCTGTTTTCACTCCAATGCTGTCCTCTGGACAGTCCGGTCCCTTCACCTGATGAAGGCCACTTGTGTTGTGGCCGAAACGTCGTGATTTTTTGTTGTTTTATTTTTTACGTATGTGACTTAACTGTCAATCTCCCTCGGCCTGGGTCTCCATGCAAGATCTCACCTCGTGGAGTTGCAATGATCATGAGAACGGTGAGGAGTCAGCCCAGAACTACACGGGAGGATCTTGTCAATGATCTCAAGGCAGCTGGGGCCATAGTCACCAATAAAACAATTGGTAACACACTACGCTGTGAAGGACTGAAATCCTGCAGCGCCCGCAAGGTCCCCCTGCTCAAGAAAGCACATATACATGCCCATCTGAAGTTTGCCACTGAACATCTATATGATTCAGAGGACAACTGGGTGAAAGTGTTGTGGTCAGATGAGACCAAAATTGAGCTCTTTGGCATCAACTCAACTCGCCGTGTTTGGAGGAGGAGGAATGCTGCCTATGACCCCAAGAACACCATCCCCACCGTCAAACATGGAGGTGGAAACATTATGCTTTGGGGGTGTTTTTCTGCTAAGGGGACAGGACAACTTCACCACATCAAAGGGACGATGGACGGGGCCATGTACCGTCAAATCTTGGGTGAGAACCTCCTTCCCTCAGCCAGGGCATTGAAAATGGGTCATGGATGGGTATTCCAGCATGACAATGACCCAAAACACACGGCCAAGGCAACAAAGGAGTGGCTCAAGAAGAAGCACATTAAGGTCCTGGAGTAGCCTAGCCAGTCTCAAGAACTTAATCCTATAGAAAATCTATGGAGGGAAATGAAGGTTCGAGTTGCCAAACGTCAGCCTCGAAACCTTAATGACTTGGAGAAGATCTGCAAAGAGGAGTGGGACAAAATCCCTCCTGAGATGTGTGCAAACCTGGTGGCCAACTACAAGAAACGTCTGACCCCTGTGATTGCCAACAAGGGTTTTTCCACCAAGTACTAAGTCATGTTTTGCAGAGGGGTCAAATACTTATTTCCCTCATTAAAATACAAATAAATTTTTGACATGCGTTTTTCTGTTTTTTGTTGTTGTTATTCTGTCTCTCACTGTTCAAATAAACCTACCATTAAAATTATAGACTGATAATTTCTTTGTCAGTGGGCAAACGTACAAAATCAGCAGGAGATCAAATACTTTTTTCCCTCACTGTAATTAACTTTTACCATTCAGTTTGGCACGTGGTGGGAGGGAAACCCATCAACAACTGCACTTCGTAGTTAACAGTTCCCGCTTTGCGATCTACTAACTCTTTTGTTGTTGTTTCTGCCTTACCTAATCTTGATCAATCGGACTTATGTAGTTAAAGTATTTATTATTTATATTCAGTGACTTGCTTACTATTTTCTCTATTTTGCACTCCTATCGTGTTTTGTATCGTTTGCTGCTGGAACTTGCTGACCCGCCCATACTGGGTCATCTGTGAAAAAGAGCTTCATAGCTCATCGGATTCCTCCACCTAGTCTAAATATTCTGATTATGATCTAGGGTCGCACATACGCTGAACAACGCAGAAGATCCCTGGGTTTTTCTTTACGATGCTGCTCATGCTCCACCCTAAGCTGGATCCACTGCATAAACGATGGCAGCAGTAGATGCGGATACCCTGATGATGCACAAATGGAAATTGAAAAACTCTACAGAGTTGCGACCATGGTCATCCCCAACAGACCATGACAACGTATAACGACGCAATGCCATGACCCGCAAGTACGAAGGAGACATCATCACAGCGATACACCCCTCTGCTCCTGACGCGGTTATCTGGCTTGACCACCTGAATGTGAAATTGTAGTTGTCCATCACAAATGTTTTTGTATAGATCACGTGAATATAAATAAGGTTTGTCACGAAAATAAAACTTGCCAATTAGTTACTACTTCAGCACACCCGTGTGTTCGAGAGTAAACCCACAGAATTTACAATTTGTCGTCGTTGCTCTGTCTACATCAGCTGTACGAAAGCAGACGTTGGTTTGACTTAAAGCTTTCGTGACTGCAGGAATTCATATTCTTGGGTCTTTCGGTAAAGTCACAACGAAGGGGTCGGCGCGCGAAATGGCTGTGCTAGTGTGAACCCTGTGAAAGCGCACGTTTGAAATGGGCGTAAAGCACA